TGTCACCTCAGGTGTATGTGGCTGGTGCCTTAGCCACTTGAGCCACAGGCGCCGAGCTGAGATCCTTGATCTTTGATGTTATTATTGTAACTGTTGTGGCCTGCCAAGAACTGTTACAAGTAGTATGTATAGAATGTACCAATAAAGGGTGACTTTAATAAATGTCGCAGTGTTCTGACCATTCCACTGGCAGGCCGGTCTACTGTCTCTCTCCCCCTCCTTGGGCCTCCCTATTCCCTGAGACACAATATTGCTCAGAAAAAAAAATTCCTTTCAAAATATTACTGTTGATTGACCTGGTCACCCAATGTTCTGATGGAGATATATAAGATTAATGTTGTTTTCATGCTTGCTAACACAACATCCATTCTGTAGCCTATGGATGAAGGAGCAAATTTGGCCTTCAAATCTTAATATTTAAAAAATTCATTTTCTAAGCCTATAGCTAGTCAGAGATTCCTCTAACAGATCTGGGCAAGGTAAACTGAAAACTTTCTGAAAAGGATGCACCATTTTACATGCTATTCAGAACATTCGTGATTTGTAGGAGGAGATCAAAATATCAACATTAACAGGAGTTTTGAAGAAATTGACTCCAACCCTCATAGATGACTTTGAGGGGTTCAAGACTTTACTGGAGAAAGTCATGGCAGATGTGGTGGAAACAGCAAGAGAACAGAATAAGTAAAACATGAAGATGTGACTGAATTGCTGCAATCTCATGACAAAACTTTAACAGACAAGGAGTTGCTACTTATAGATGAGTAAAGAGAACGGTTTCTTTTTCTTATTTATTTATTTAGTTATGACAGTCTCACTTTGTTGCCCTGAGTAGAGTGCCATGGATGGCGTCACAGCTCACAACACCCTCAAACTCTTGGGCTTAAGTGATTCTCTTGCCTCAGCCTCCCAAGTAGCTGGGACTACAGGCACCTCCCACAATGTCCAGCTATTTTTGTTGTTGTTGTTGTTGCAGTTGTCATTGTTGTTTAGCTGGCCCAGGCTGGGGTTTGAACCCACCAGCCTCAGTGTATGTGGCTGGCACCGTAACCACTGTGCTATGGGTGCCGAGGCAAAAGAGTGGTTTCTTGAGATGGAATCTATTTCTGGGGAAGATGGTATGAACATTGTTGAAAAAACAACAAAGTATTTTAGAATAATGTATTAACTTAGTTGATAAAGCAGTAGCAGGGTTTAGGAGGACAGATTGACTCCAGTTTTGAAAGAAGTCCTACTGTGATTAAAATGCTATCAAAAGCATCCTATGCTACAAAGAAATCTTTCCTTAGAGGAAGAGTCAATCAATGTGACAAACTTTATTGTTGTCTTATTTTAAGAAATTGCCACAGGAACCTTCCATCAGTTGGCAGCCAATACTGAGGCAAGACCCTCCAGCAGCACAGAGATTACGAAGTGCTGCAGGCTCAGATAATTGTTAGTACTTTTTAGCAATAACATAATTTTTAATTATGATAGGTATACTGGATTTTTGATAATACTATTACACATTTGATAGACTATAGTGTTATATAAACATAACTTTTATATGTACTAGGAAACCCCAAAACTATGTGACTCACTTTATTGTGACATTCATTTAACTGCAGTGGTCTGGAACTGAACCCACAGTATCTCTGAGGTTGGCTTATACCTAAAAATATGCAAGTGGCTTTGGAATTAATGTGCAGCGGCTGTACGAATTCTGAAGTCCTCACCAGTAAATACCCAAATTGCTTTGAAGAGACTGTCAGTAGAAACATGGACATTGTAGGAATCATAGGAACCCAGGGAGTTTAATATTGCAAGAACAATGGAAGACATGTTGTTGGAAAGAAGAAAGTGAAAGGTAGGTAAACCTAATGGTTTTACATGCTATTTAAGGAAAAAAAAAGAAAGGCCTGGTGTAAGAAAAAGAAAATGTCAGCATTATTGCCATGGAGCTGTTGGAGCTATTATCACCTTGGGGCTAATAAATTTTTATTAAAATGTGGAAAACTTGGTTAGGAGCGGTGGCTCAGGCCTATAATACTAGTACTTTGGGAGGTTGAGGTGGGGGGAGGCTGATCTCAAACTCCTGGGCTCAAGCAATCCTCTAGCCTTGGACTCCCAGAACGACAGGATTACAAGCATGAGCCTGCACCTGGTCCGGCTGTTATTATTGGTATTATGGACACAATAAATTTTTGACTGAATAAGCCCATACAATTGCTTCTATTGGTGTTGCAATGTGTATTAAAATGTACAGAGAACACCAAGTTCAATAGTACATGAGGACCGCTTGGTGGCTACCTATTATTGATCAACCAACCATAAGCATTGTTTTTCCTCACCCTATTGTAACAGGCAATTTTCCTCTTTCCATGCCTACGTTTCAGCCACTGACAACTGCCAAGTCCCAATCAGCCATGCTGATAACATGTAAGGTTAAGGGATGGCTGCTCCTGAGAAATGTGCACCTGTCAGGAATGTGAATCTGCTTGACAAGAAATGAATTTCGGACCAGGTCCTCAGGGGTGACCCAGGCGGGGCCAGCACATCCCAAGCTCAATTAGGACACTCGGTTCTCACGGGCCCCTGCTGATGCTACTTTTGGCAAGTAATTTTACAAGGACTCAGTATCCTCGATTGCTAGACTTCTGTGAACCTCTGGTTATCCAAACAAACTTTACATTAGACGGTTGTACCTCAGGATTACCTTTGCTTCTCCTATATGTTCTAGAAATGTGAAATGGACCCCTCAGACAACGCTGGAGATGAAATGGGGGCAAAAGTCAAGTCGTGGGCTTGCATCACGGATAAACCCTCCATACTCCGTCAGTGTGGTCAGCAGAATCCAACTACATAGCTGCCTCCCTCCCTCCTCCGCACCTGCACAAACCCTGGACTGCCCCTCGTGGTTGGTCATTTGGCTCCTCTGAGGCAACGGTCACATCCTTCATGAAGGGTCTTGAACCGCCTCCAAAGACGCCAGACAACCTTCGCAAGGCCGCGAACTTACTCTCCCTGTCGGCATCGCACCCATCCCCTCCCTCGGCCCTGTCACCTTGGCCGCCTGACCCATGGCTCTTCTCGCCGCTGCCTCCACTTCTCAGGCGGTCGAGTCGCCCCGCCTCTTGGCAACTAATCAATGCCAGATTTGAACTATCCAAGTCTCTGTAGCCATGTTCCTAACGTGCCACAACCAATCACCACGTAGCATTTCCTTTGTAGACCCTCCTTCCTCGAAACGACCAGGTATTTGCTAAGCCGGTGACAGCTGGTAAAAGCGCGAGAAGTCGCGAAGCCCAATTATTGGGCAGAAGAGAACGGAAATCTTCTGGATCCCATGTTTGTTAGGGGCAGGTCTACTTCCGACCCAGGGAACCTCCGGCTCATAGGCTGGCTTGGTATTTACGAATGGCATCGGAACGTGCGCTTTGTTTGTTTCCTCCTGCTTGGGAGTTAAAATCGTCTATTTAAGGGCCTTGTTTTAATGTTTCCCAAGGGCGACAGTCTCCGTGGAAATATGCATAAATAAAAGCCAAGCTCTAGTAACTACAGCGGGTGTTTATTGGAATGCTGACTCTTAAAAGTTCTGTTGTGGTTGGACGCGGTGGCTCATGCCTGTAATACAAACCCTTTGGGAGGCGGAAGTGGGAGGATTGCTTGCGGACGGGACTTCGAGACAAGCCAGAGCAGTAGAGCCAGAGGAGACTCTGTAGAAAAAAAATTTAAAACTAGCTTGGCTTGGTGGCGTGCACCTGTAGTGTCAGCTATGTGGTGGAATCACTTGAGTCCAGGCGTTTGAGGTTGTAGTAAGTTACGCTCTAGCTGTATTCTAACCCCAGGGAGAGAGTGAGATCTGTCTCAAGAACAAAAATTGTGTTCTGCATTCTTTTTATTTTTCCCGTAAGGTGAGGTCGAGTTACATGCTCAAGTTCACAAGCTAGTGAAGTGCAACTCTGTGATAGAAATCTGCGGCACCTGACCCCAAGCCCTAGTCTTACTAGGTACTACATCCTGACTATTCAAATTGCTCTACTCTTTGGTTTTGGTGATAGAGGCTGAAAGTGAGTAATTTATTAGCAACATCATAATCATAGGCAATTGCAAAGCCATTTATTTGTGTTTTTAACTTAAGACCTTGCCAAGTGTTGGCGCCTGTGGCTCAGAGGAGTGAGGCACCGGCCCCATATACAGGAGGTGGAAGGTTCAAACCCGCCCCGACCAAAAACTGAAAAAAAAAAAAAAAACCAACAACAACAAAAATCTTGCTAAGATCAAGAAAAGTCTAAAAGTCTTAATATTGTTCTATTGCATAATCCATGTTTGCCTTCCCTACCACAACAGACTCACTAACTTTTCGGTAAAATTGACTTAAAAAAAAATTAAGAATGAAAGATTTGGACCAACGGGTTTCCAAGGCCCTGTTCCTTTTCTGTGACTTAATGTCGTTTTGAAGGATGGTGTAAATCATCAGGAGAATAGCAAGATGATAGTATTTTTAAAAAGTACACTTGATTTTCAGAAGAGCATTTGATAAAACAAGCAATTAAACCAAATGCACCAGGTATTTTTTTTTTTTTAATCTAGGAAACAACAAATTAGGTGGTTTTGTGACATCACATTGTGCCTTCTGAATGCTTACGATGATTAAAGGATGCTTTTTTTTTTCATTTCCTGTTTGGAATCATAGCCTAATTTCCTGAAAATTTGTAATTCATTTAAAAAATTCTGGCTATGGTCCTGTATTCAGTTAACTAAAACCCTTCATCTGGCAATATTTGAAAATATAGTTGTTATAATGCCAAAATTAGTTCAGTCCTGTTGCTTCTCTTAGACACATCTGTATCTTTCCATCAACTGTCTCACAAATGAGGGAGTTCTTTACTATTTTCTGGGAACATATCCTAGTTTTCTGCATCTCAAAGTGTATGCCAGAACTAAACAGGCATTTCCAACATATTTATCATATAAGTTCATGGAGGTATGTAATAGGCAGAATAATGGCCTCCAAAATATGTCTTGAGTTCACATACCCAGAACCTCTTGATTATTTTACCTTATATGACAAAAGGGACTTTGCAAGTGTGATTAAATTAAGGATTTGAGATGAGAAGATTATCCTAAATTGTGTGGAGGGCCCAGTGGAATCAGAGTGATCCTTATAAGTGGAAGAAGGAAGCAGTGTCAGGGAGAAGTTTGAAGATGAAGGAAGGGGCCACAAACCATGGAAAGCAGGCTGCCTCTAAAAACTGGAAAAGGTGAGGGAATTGATTCTCCCCTAAAGCCTTTGAAAGTAATGCACCCTTGCTAACTAACACCTTGAATTTAGCTTCGTGAAAGGTAATTTGGACTTCTGACTTCCAAAATGCCACCTGTTTGTGCCCCTTTCCATCTTGAAAGCCAATAAAGGAACATCTTAAAATCTCTGATTCTCACTCCTCCTTCTGTTGTTATATCTCCTCTCATTCTCATTCTCTGTGTCTTACACTTACAAAGACCTTTATGATTATATCAGGCCTACCTGGATAATCTAGGAATCTCATTAAGATTCCTAACTTTAAAATGAAAACTGACTTACAGAAAAGTGGAAAGAATAATATGTTTAAAGTTTAATTATATCTGTAGTTCTCAGCTCTTGAAAATGCCAATGGAAGAAATTCTTAAATACAAATGCATAATTAAAGAAAAGATTGGGCTCGGTGCCTGTGGCTCAAGTGGCTTAGGCTTTAGCCACATACACTTGAGCTGGCGGGTTTGAATACATCCCAGGCCTGCTAAACAACAATGGCAGCTGCAACCAAAAAATAGTGGGGCATTGTGGTGGGTGCCTGTAGTCCCAGCTACTTGGGAGGCGGAGGCAAGAGAATCACTTGAGCCCAGGAGTTGGAGGTTGCCGTGAGCTGTGATGCCATGGCACTCTACCCAAGGCGACAGCTTGAGGCTCTGTCTCAACAACAACAGAAAAAGAAAAAAAAAGATTCCTAACTTAATCACATCTGCAAAATTCCATTTACCATGTACATATATACAGCACCTCCAGGGATTAGGACATGAGCATCTTTTGCTTACTACACTCAGTATGGATGAAGACAGTCAATAAAGTTGAAAGGGTAGAAATGCTGTGAAGGCTATGTTAACCAGTTTGATGAAAATATTTCAAATTGTATATAAAACCAACACATTGTACCCCATGATTGCATTAATGTACACAGCTATGATTTAATAAAAATTAAAAAAAGTTGAAAGGGTAGGAAATAAGGTAGGAGAAAGAACCAGGGGCTTAGTCACATAGGATCTAATAAATCAAGTTAAGTGGCTCAGTGTCTGTGGCTCAAGTGGCTAAGGCGCCAGCCACATACACCTAAGGTGGCAAGTTCAAATCCAGCCTGGGCCTGCCAAAACAACAATGACGGCTGCAACCAAAAAAAATAGCCAGGCATTGTGGCAGGCGCCTATGGTCCCAGTTACTTGGGAAGCTGAGGCAGGAGACTCGCTTGAGCCTAGGAGTTGGAGGTTACTGTGAGCTGTAATGCCATGGCACTCTACCCAGGGGGACAGCTTGAGGCTCTGTCTCAAAAAAAAAAAAAAAAATCAAGTTAAGAATTTTGGATTTTATTCTGTGATAGAATGCACTGGAATACCAGCAGGAGAATGACATTATATTTGTAAAGATCATTTTAGATGCTGTACGGCAGATTAACTATAGTAGAAGCAAAGAGGCTTTTTCAAGTAGGAGGTTCTCAAAATAGGAGGCAAGCGGTAATAGTAGCTTGGATTAGGGCAGTGGGGGTGGAAGAGGTGAGAAGTGATTAGATTCATATGTGTTGAAAATGTGGCGAGATGATTTCAAGGTTTCTGGCTTAAGCAATTGGGTGAATGTTAGTATAGTAGAATGCTGAAGGAAGAGATTTTTGTTTGTTTGTTTAGGGGAAGTAAAAATAAAGTTGAAGTGCCTGGTAGACATCCAAATGAAGGTGGTGAGTAGGCTGTAATGTATATCAAAATTAGCCTGGAATTAAGGGGAGAGGTAGGTCAGGAGACAAATACCCAAGATCTCTATAGACAATAAAGGCCTCAGACTGAGTGAAAGTTGACTGTATTGTTTATTATCCATACCAGCATACATTTTTCAAGTACATCAACATATTTATTTGTATCCTCATTGTCTTAAGTGTATATTTATGGACCATTCAAAGGCAATTATTTCAGTACTCTTCAGGCTCCTGGAAATTTTAAGTGATCCAGTCATCTCTAGTCAAGATCCAATTTTCAGAATCCTCACCAGGGACTTCTTTAAGATGTTAGAAGTGCTAAGTGATTCCATGTTATAAACAGCTGAGAGATGAGCAGGGGAGAAAGCATAAAATAGGTTGAATTTGAGACACCTAAGAATTAAGACTGTGAGAAATGAATCAGGAACAGCTGCTATGTTAAGTCACTTTTGTGTACCCAGATGGTACTCAGCTGGCAACAGTCTATGCTTCAAGCATCCGCCTTCCACCTGCAGAGTTGGCGATACTCAATATCTACCAAGCTTCACCTGAAATGGTTGAAATCATCTATACACTAAATGGCACTTTGCTTCTACACTAATTTTACACCAAGGCAGGGAAGGCATTATGGCAGTTATACAGTGAGGTTTTTCTACTCACAGGAAACAACCAAACTGCTTATGTTAAAAATTCAAGCTTGGCGCCCATAGCACAGTGGTTATAATGCCAGCCACATACACTGAGGGTGGCGGGTTCGAACCTGGCCCAGGCCAGGTAAACAATAACTGCAACAAAAAATAGCTGAGTGTTGTGGTGGGTGCCTGTAGTCCCAGCTACTTGGGAGGCTGAGGCAAGAGAATCTCTTAAGCTCAAGAGTTTGAGGTTGCTGTGAGCTATGACACCACGACTCTCTACCAAGGGCGACATGGTGAGACTTTGTCTCAAAAAAAAAAAAAATACCAAAAAAGATTCCCTGGCAGACAGTCAATGATCACTGAACACAAATCCATTTAATGAATGTCTCCACTTCCAGGCAAAGGAGCACAGGCCAAAGGCTGCTTGTGGCTCTCTGGAGGTCATTCAAATAAAGTGGCCTAGGCCAGGTTGACACCCTCTATGTGTTCACGATCAGATACCCTTGAACCCCAA